TGATTTGCATTGGGGTGAGAGTACAGAGAGGTTACTGAACATTAGCAAAGTCTTCATGGAATTGGGTAACAAACATGGAAACCTTGACCTCTCGTGGAGCCCAAAGCCAGATCCAGCGGGTTAAAGAGTGACCAGAGTTGGAAGTGGAAAAACTTGGGAAGACAATTGATGGACACAGACTCATCTCTGGAAGTCTACCCTCTCCCTCCTTGGTGACTTCATCCCTCCTTAATGCTCCAAACTGGAAGACTGGCTAACGAGCAGAAAGCTGGCTGGCAGCGTTTTCAGTTGTCAAAGTACTTAGCCTAGGCATAAGAGATGATGCAGGCATGGATATTTTAGGCTTGGGTTTTGTTCTAACTCAAACTCTTCCTTTTGAGAAGAGCTGTGCTTTGAAAATCTGTAGAGCTGTGTGTGGTCTGGAAGAGGCATAGTGACTTTTGATGTACATCTAGACAGACTTGGGCTAACCTGTGCAAACGGTTCTGGGGAGTGTGCAAGCTAGGTTTCAGATAACGATGAAGAGGAGAGAGCTCTCTAGGTCATCAGTTTTGTGTCTTACTTCATGTTTCATGGTGTTCAGCTACTGAGATCCACCCAAGGAGCTGACGTTCCAAAGACATGGCCCCAAGGAGGATTGAATTTTTTTTCTTTTATATTCGAAATGTCTCTCTAAGTCTTTATCTCTTCTGTTTACCTCCAGGGCTCGTGTAGTAATAAGGTTTAATATAATGTATTAATATGGAGACTTAAAACAAAACTTTTAGTAGGAAAACTATTTCAGTGTTAGAGCCTAAATATAGATGTGTATTAACATCAAAGTGAAGAGACCTTTTTATCACTATTGTATGTGTGTGTATACTTATGTGTGTAAAATAAATCTTAGCTGAGCTTGATGGCTAATACCTTTAATTCCAGTACTTTTTAGGCAGAGGTAGGCCTCTGAGAGTTGAAGGCTAGCCTCATCTACATAGCAAGTTCCAGACTGACCAGGTCTATATGACTTTATCTCAAAAAAATATATATATACAGTAGTTTGTACACAGCTGAGGAAGCTTTTATCTCTCTCCCTCTCTCCTCACCCCTCCTCTTTCCCATGCTATTTTAGTACAATAAGAAAATGAAAGTCAAGTCATTTCCACAGAAAATGAGAGCAAATACTCTCACAGGGAGCTTATGAAGGAATCCCCCCCCCCTCAGTTGGCTGAGACATATGTTAACTTGCTACAAAGGAGCTGGTTCTAGCCTTTGGGTGTGACCACTGAGCTTACAGCACCTAGATTCTACAGACTGGAGTGGGATATTCACACTCACACACACACACATACACTCATATACTCACACACACACAGGGAAAGGAGGGAGAAGAGAAATAGAGAAACAGACAAACTCTCTCTCTTTCACACACACACACACACACACACACACACTGTCTCACACTCCTCTGGACTTTGCTGTCTCTGTGAGCTCTCCACTAAATTCAAATGTATTTAACCATAAATTATAATTTATAAAACCTCATTGGTATACAGATTAAGTTTCAATTCCCTCAATATTGTTAGCATGAAAAAGGCTGGCATGAAATATGGTTGCTTTGATATGAAATGTCCCAGACAGCAAATCTATAAAGACAGGAAGCCAGATGAATGGGGTTTAGGGCTGGCACACTGAGGGGAGCAGGGTTCCTTTGGGGTTGGGACAATGAAGATATTCTAGTTTTTATCATGATAGCTGAACAGCCCTGAACGCTACTGAAAACCATCAGGTTGTGCCCCTCAACTGAATGCATCTGACAGCGTGTGAGTCACTTCAGCCAAACTACTCAAGAGAAAACAAATCCTGACCATGTTTAGAATGTGAATTTTTAAGAGATTTTAAACAAAGTTGAAAAACAGAGAACACTGGATTCCCTCTTGCAAAGCCCTAGTCATGATTTTCCCAAGTCTAGATTCCTTCATGTACATAATGAGGAAAACATGCTACACCTCTGCCACCAGGTCTGTAAGCTAGTATCAGTACACACAGACACATATACACACTACACATGCACATGTGTACACACACACACACACACACTGAAGTGCACACAGGGGTCTAACACACCCTGATTTTAAATAGGTATCTGCTCAGTTACTGTATACATTTATCACTTTAAAACTGACACGCGTGTGACTCATGGAAGCACAAGAGACAACTACATACCTATACAAAGACTTCCTTAAACCGAACAGAAACCCCAGTGGGAACAGGACCGCCCAACAAAAACCCTCTTTATCCATCATGTTGAAAACTACGCTAACCATCTAACCCCACTACCACCACCACCAGGGGTTGAACCCAGGACCTCACACATGCTGACCGAGTGCTTTGCTGCTCACTTAGCCACATCCCCTTCAACTGCCTTTAGAGCTGTTAGTCAGATCCCCCTCCATCACCCCTAAAGTCTTCCATCATTTAGACTTGAAAAGCCACCTGAGGCTTCCTCTGCCTGTTCCTCCCCACTCCAACAATACTCACAGGAAAGTTAAATTCATATGCCAAACTCCTCAGTCAGAGATTTTTAACTGAAAAGTCTTGTAAACCCCGATAGTTCAATTATATTGCACATAAAGATATCGCGAACCTATTTTTTTTTATATATGGCTAGATATTTTTTTTAAGGTTAAAACAAAATCAGGCACCAAACCTTACCTGATCTCAGAAACAAGAGAAATAGAAGGACTACTTCCTTATGGTCCATGTTGGGACTGGCCAACAACAGCACCTGGGAAACTGTGTCCCCGTTGTTGGCTTAAAGGGGACCAAAGGCACCCACAAGCAAGACAGTCCAATGGGGTTAATGATTCTCTGAGGCCCCCGCCACTGTGTGCAGAAGGAGCAAACATTACCTCGAATAGGACGCTTACAAAATGTTTGAGTATGGAGTCCGCCGGCCGCAGATGTGGAGGCGGTGAAAGTGGCACTCCCTCCCCCCACCCCTGCTCCCCTCCTCTTCACTGGTTGACTTTCTCCTCCTTTCCCGCTCACCGCGCCCAGCCACTGCGTGTCCCATCTCCTCTCCCCTCTTCTTCAGCTTCCTTGTCTTGACATCCAAAAAGGAAATGGTGAAAATAACCTATGTTTGCTGAGTGCCTTCCATACGCCAGATTCTGGCAAATGGTCCATACCCAACCTCATCTGACCTTCCCAGCAATCAGCTGGACACCGTTCCCATTTCCAGACGAGGGACTGGGGGTAGCATGTGATGTCTCAATGCATGTATTACATAATATTTATGAACTTGGTTTTTTTTCAGTTTTTATGTTGTGAGTAACCATTGATTTTGTTTCGGAGATCCCTCACCTGTATTCCAGCCCCGCTGTTGAATTAATCAGTTAAGTTATATTATTTTTACAGAGCTGCCGTATTCCCATCCCTTTCGAATTTAAGCACTATATAGCTTCTCTCCTGGTGTGTTTATTCCTTGATCGGCCTGTAGAGTGAGACTCAGCATGCCGGGCAAGAACTGTACCACAGGGAGGTACCACTAACCTACTGGGCAGTGTTGAGATTGGTTTGAGGGTTGGAGAGATGGCAGAGCAATTAGGAGCACTTACTGCTGCTCCAGAGGACCTGAGTTCAGTTCCCAGCACCCACATCAGACAGCTCACAACTGCCGGCATCTCCAGCTTCCAGGGGATCTAATGTCCTCCTCTGGCTTTTGAGGGGACACACACACACACACACACACACACACACACACACACGTTTTGAAATAATCTCTCACTTCCCATTGTTTTCATAATATCCTTCCAATGTGATCCTTTCTTCCATCTGAACTCAGAGTACCATGGTTAAAAACATTCTTACGGCACGAAGAGAATATGGTGGGATTCAGTTGCAAGAATACCTTTTTGTTCATTTGTTCTTGCTGCCTTGAAATAGTCTCCTACTGCAGCCTAGGCTTGCCTGGAACTCACAGTGATCCTCCTGTCTCTGCTGCCTAAGTGCTAGAACTATGAGTGTGTGTCACTCTCTGGGGGATCATCTCAATGGTAATTGTAGAGTCCACTTTTTCCTGGCTTGAGGTTAGAATGTTTTAAAGCCCCCATTTTGGTATTTGAAAATATTTAGAAATAAAACTGACTTCTAATGTGTTATTGTAAGGACAAAAGGCAGCTACTGTTCTTTACTGGCTAAAAAAATCCTTCCTAAGACACACGGATGCCTCAGGTAGAACCTTCTACAGAATTCCACGAGACTAAAGCTTGTGCAAAAAAAAAAAGTTAGAAAAGGAAAAAAAAAAAGCAAGAAGAGGGAGAGGTGGGTTCCATGTGGTGCTGTGTACTGTTCCTCCTCGAGGGAGGAAGGAGGCTCCCAAAACTTAGGAGGCTCAGTCAACTACAAGATTCACAAGGCCCTCCCTCAGTCTTATACAGCAGGGAATTGGCATGGGAGAATCTCCTCCTCGGTGGAGTCACCTGCAGCCGAGTGCTCTAGGTGACAACCTGTAATGCCTTTGAGTTTGCCATGTTCCTGTAAAGCAGCCTTTGTAAACTCGTTGTAAACAGGTGAGATAGATCTCACCTGCAATTGTTCTCTTCGGTCTGTCATGTGTGCCCTGTGGGGGTGAACAGATGATTGTTCACACCTCCCCAGGGGGACTTCACACAGCAGGTTGACAGGGCACACCCGGGAGTGTGAGCGCGCCCTGAGTTTCTGTCAGCCAGCTTTCCCCTCTCCTCACTCTCCTCACTGAACTCATCTCCCCTCCCTTGAACCTGTTGGCCCAGTTTAATTAGAAGTCATTTCAAAAGTCATTAACAAGCAGATCCCCCCCCCTTCCAAACGTACTTTGGTGAAAGTAAAAGCAGATCCCACTAATCTACAGCGGCTTTGGTGTGCCAGGGAGTATCCCTTGCCACTTAAAAGTCTTACTTTGGCCTTCTTCCTCATCCCCCAAGTACCATAAGAATGTTATCAGAAATGGAGGCCCACACATTTTTTGTCTCTTGTTTTGTTTTGAGTGACATTAAAGGTTTGGATATGAAACACCTCCCACAGGCTCATAATTGAAACACTCGTCTGCACTGGTGATGCTGTTTGGGGGGGTTGTTGAACGTTTTGGAGATGGGGGTTAGCTTGTGCCCCTGGTTTGCTGTGGGGCAGGCCTTGATGGTTATAGCCTCTCCCTGTTGGTCCTTCCCAGGCTGCTTCTGGTAGGCCTCTGAGCTATGAGCAAGCTGCCGAGTGGTTTTGCTGCAGCAGATGGGAGCCTATCCAGCAAAGGGCTGTTGAGTAGAAACAAATCTTCCTTCCAAGCCGCTTCTGTCACATACTTTGTCCAGTGATGAGAGGAATAATCAGTACAGGCCGCACTGGTATGTGCCTGTTGCATGTGACTGTCCTCTAAGCCCTGCAACAGCCACCTTGGGGCACTCTGCTGTACCCCCTTGCAGAAACATTGTCCTAGCTGTGCTTGTCAAATGTTTGCGTTCGCCTATGGAAAGTTCGCCTTGAGGACCCTCACCTCCGTATCTAGATGCTCCCAACTACCGACTGTATGCAACTCTGTCCTAACTGCACATGGCCTTTGAGAGGGGTTCTCACAGGCAGGGGAGACTAGGGAAGGGAGGCCTCCATCTGTGTGGCTGCAGGAAAGCCGTCATCCTGCCGAACGAAGACTTTCTGGCCTTTAGAAGGAGGAACACCCACACCCCCTGAAACCCCTCACTTAAACTGTATAAGGAAGCCCGGTAAACTCATTCATTCCCCACAGGGAACTTTAGTGGAATAATGCCTCAGTTGCTGGGACTTCCGAGGAGGAGGAAACATTGTTTGTCTCCCCCCTGGAAGGAGTTTTAGCAACAGTGCACTCCCAACATAATTCAAGAGTGCACTTAATTCTGCTATGTTACTTTGTAAGTCAGGTCGTCTCCTAATGGCCTCGTGACTCTTTTTTTACCTGTATGACAGCCACACCCGGCAGCTCACGGCACTGCTATGGTGCCGCAAGGTTCCAGATCCTGAGGGGGGAGAGCCAAGTGGGGGAGGGTGTTGCTCAGTTATCAGTGTGGGTGAATGCATACACACTTGCACATAGAGAGAGCCCTACTTTAGTCTCATGAATACAGGGTGAGCATAATGCTATGGAATGTTCTAGATCACACACAGAAACCTCACATTCAACTCTTAAGAAGATTTCTGCCCATATTTTTAAGGAGAAGTCACTCAAAATAAGTCATTTTCCTCTCGAGAGAATGACAGAAACTAAGGAGGAGGGTCTAACAGCGTCACCATGCTGTGGTCTGGGTACAAACATTCTGAGATTTATGTATCCTTATTTAGTTAATTCATTAAGTATTGATCACTTACAACACACAAGAGTGGCTGTATTGTTCTGGATTCTATAAAAGGTGCTGTATTTACCTGTCCTCACTTCCCATCCTGAAAGAGCTCTGTGTTCAAGTTATGTGTCTAGCCTGCAGCTCCTCTTGGAGCTGAAAAGAGCACATCTAAGCAAGATGGAAGACAAACCTAATTGCCTTAGTTCTGGCCAGCATGGGCTCAGGCAACAATTACTCTTGTTTTCTGAGAGGGGAAAGGATTCTCTGGTCTATCCTCATATTGGGATGGACTATTCCTTACAAGGAATGTCTTAAACACAAGGAAGAGTCAACCCAGCTTCACAGGAACAATGTACTAGTTGTTTTGTCAACTTGACACAAATCTAGACATACCTGGGAAGAGGTCATCTTCTTTGGTTTGGGGATTTTTTGTTTGGTTGGTTGGTTTTGTTTGTTTGTATTTGGTTGATTTGGGTTGGATTGATTTTGTTTTTGAGATAGTGTCTCCCTACATAGCCCTGACTATCCTGGAAACTACATAAGCAAACTGACCTTGAACTCAAAAAGATCCATCTGCTGCTGCTTCCTGGGTGCTGGGATTAAAGGTGTACCTCACCACCCAGCTGAAGAAAGGATTGTAACTGAGAAAATGTCTATATGTAAATCCGTGGGTCATTTTCTTGATTAATGAATGATGTAGGTAAGCCCAGCCCGCTGGGAGGTTGTCCTAAGATATAAAAGAGAGCAGGCCAAGCAAACCATGGGGATCAAGGCAGTTAGCAGCATTCCTCCATGGTCACTGCCTCAGCTCCTGCCTGACTTCCTCTCAGTGATGGAGTGTGACCTGGAAGCATACGGTGAAATAAACACTTTCTTCCCCAAATTACTTCTGGTCATGGCATTTATGGAAGCAATAGAAATTCTAACTCAGCCAGTAGGGTTTGCAGTCTCACCTGAGGTGAAGGTGTGGCCAGGCACTCATGAATCCTGAGGTAATATGGTGTCACTGGCCTGAGGGTTACATCTGCCAGCAATCCCACACCAGGGGTCTACCTTCCTCCTGCTCCAGGCTCTGCCAAGTGGGAGCTGTGAATCTAAGACATTTCCCTCCCAGGAGGTCTCTAAAGAGCCCCAGTCAGATATGTCATTTCAAAACTAAACACCAGGGCTGGGGAGAGGGCTCGGTGGCAGAAGCCCTTGCTGGCCGAGTGCAAAGACCTGTTTGATCACCAAGCCAAACACAGCAGTTCTAGGACAAGATGGGGGGGGTCAAGACAGAATCCCCGGAAGCTCATAGGTGAGCTAGCCTGATGTGTGCAGCAGCAAAGAAGAGAAGTCTCAAAGAAGGTGGAAGGGAGACATCACCCAAGGCTGTGATCTCCACAGACGCACTATGGCGCACGCATGGCTGCACCCTTACCAACACAGGCATGTGTGTGTGCACACGTGCG